ATTTCTCTTTCATCATCTAATTTTTCCACCGACCCTTTTCTTTCTCTTCTTCTTCTCCCTTTTCTTTTCTCGTTCTTTTTTGTCTTTTCCATTTCTTCTTCTCCATTTGCTTTTCTCATTCTTCCTAGTCTTCTCCATTTCTTCTTCTCCCTTTGCTTTTCTTATTCTTTCCAGTCTTCTCCATTTCTTCTCCTTCACTACTTTTCTCTTTCTTTTTCATCGTCTTCTCTTCCAAATCTTAATAATATTCAAGACCAAGAAACGTAATCTTAATATCAAGTAAGTAAACCCACATGCATGAGACAACATCACTAATTGAACTCATTTCTTTTTAACTCAACTTGATTCAACATAACACAAAGTCACACTTTACAAAACACCAAAACCTTTACAAAAGTAGCGACAAGACAATTAGAAACAACAATATACAATATCTACTGCCCACACGAAAGAGCAAAGAAAACCTACAGGAAGAATTGAAGAAGAAGACGCGAATTGGAGAGAAATTTGTGTTTTAGGGTTAAAATAATTTGGGGCTTTTGTTATGAGTCAAACAAAAAAGGAAAAATTATTTTACTTTTTATTTTTTATTTTTTTAATAAAACCGGGTATCAGGTACCTGATTGTATTGTTAATAAGACCCGATACCCGAACCAAAATTCAAGTATCTCATGAATTACTATCCGAAATCGACCCAAATTTTCGGGTGCCCAAAAAATTCGGTTCGGTTAGCATGTTCGGTTCAGATAGCGGATAATTTTGCACAGCCTTACCTCCAAGGGACCCAAAAGTATCTTTCCCTTCATTATATTATACAAAATCTGGTTGTTCATATAGTAACTGTTGTATTATTGGATGGAGCATATTTAATGGTCATTGAAGACTTTTAAATTTCTATATAATTTACTAAATACCGTTTTGGTTATAGGTTTTTGGTTTGTTGAGTTCATTTTTAGGTTATGGTTTAGAAGCTGTTTATTCTATTTTAGGGTTTTAGTATATATTGAGTCTACGGTATGAGTTGGATTGTCATTTTCAAGTTCGGTCTATATTTTCAAACAATTACAGTTGGCGGTGTAAAACCCCATTCTAATTATATATATATTTTGGTTTTGTTTATAAGAAGGGACTTTTTTGTCAAATTTTAAAGTTTGCTTGGGGATGAAAACAAAGAAATGGAAACTGTTGGGTTTGCATGTAGCAAGGGCACAAAATCTGGAGGTTTTTGGAAGAAAAAGATGATGTAGTAAGGTTATACTAGAATTAAGAGAATTTGGGGGCTGTTGTGTAAAAATAAAAATAAAAATTGTTTTAATAAATTTGGCTGCTCGCCCAAATGAAGAAGAAGGAAGTTGAGAGAAGGAAAAGAAGAGAGAAAAGCAAGGAAATGAGGAAGAGAAAGTGTAACTATCGGCCAAGTAAAAATGAAGGGAGATCACACGATTTTTTGCAAAAATTGTATCATGCATGTAGTTTTTTGAGTGAGTCTCTCACCATTTTCTTCGATTTGTGTAATTCTAATTCAATTTTGTCAAATTGGGTTGTTAGGTGGAGAAGAGAGGGATGATGCTTGAGGCAGCTGGGCATTTTGGGTTGAGCTGAAATTTTTGTAAGTGAATTTCCAAATACTTGTTTTAAAAACTCAATTCCATTTGCATGTCAAGTGATGAATTTCTATTAAAATGTTTGGTGCAAAAATTGTTAGTTAATTGTGATATTTGCACTAGATTTGGTTCTAAAGTATGTGATAACATGCTGCATGTTATATGTATATTTATATACTGTTTACATAGAATTAAATGATGGTGAAAATGCTTGTAAGAGTTGTTGGTTGTGTTTGGCTGCCGAAATCTTTTTTTAAGCATGAAATTTTGCTAGTTTATGCTGCTGCATATTGAATTTGAGTTTAAAATTTGCTATATGGTGTTTGGCTAGGTGTATTTCTCTATCTGATTGTGCTATGTTTTGAAATTTGGTTGTTTATATGAAAATTTATGGTTATGGGGTTGCTTTACTATGACCGAATGCATAAAAAAGAAGTAGGTGAAGTGAACATGAAATGGAGGTGGTTTATTTTGCTGCATGTGGCTTCTATTCATGATTTATTTGGTTTTTCAATTGTGATGTTTGTTGGTTACATTTTTGGCCGATTAAAGCAAATGGATGCTGGGATTACATGCGTTTTGTGGACTGCATTTTTTGCCAATTTATGCATGTAATGTTGGCTGGATTGATATGTGTTTGGTTGCATTTTTGATCGATTTATGCATCTGATCGTGGCTGGAATGTTGTTGAGAAAATATGATGTTTTGTGTCTTCAAATTCTCGAATTTAAGGTAATTTGAGTGGAAATTTTATTGAGTTCTTGAGTACGCATTTAAAATATTTGGTGGCCTCCTTTTATTTCCATGAGATGCACATTTTCACATGCATAATGTAATTCATTACTCCTTGATATATATACTTTGATTATATTATCTGTATATGTGATCAAATTAGAGTTTGACATATTATATGTAGTGTCAATTGATGGATATAGGACTTGGGTTTTGTATTTAATTAAATTGGTGTTTGGGGTTCAATGGAAGTAATTGGCCCAATGGTGTTTGGAATTAATTGAAGTGAGTGGGCCTAATGGTGTTTAAGTAAATAGGCTTAATGGTGTTTGGTTTATTGAAATAGTTGGGTTGTTGGGTTTTTATTTCTTAATTGTGGGCTTAATGGAGTTGATGGGCTTAATTGAATTAGTGGATTAATTGTGTTAGTGGATTAATTGTGTTGGTGGACATAATTTAAAAAAAAAAAAGGAATAAATTGTCAGTTTTGAAACATGTTTAGAAAATTACAGTTTCACCATTGTATGTGATTTTTGAATATTATGTCATATATGCATGATTTATAAGCACTTATATGATATGTTCTTGACTTATATGTGACTTGAGATTATGCATGAGATATTTGTGGTGCTACAACTACCCTACGAAGTACCCATCCCCCAGTTTCAGGCTCTACCCATGTGATGCAGGATTCGCTAGGTATTGAAATATTCGGTCTTTAGGCTCTGCGCATGCGTATTGAGATATTCAGTGCTCTGCTTGAGTGTTGAGTCTGTCTACCAGGTATTGAGATGGTTTTCTTCAGGCTCTGCCTGCACGATGATAGCTTTTGCCGGGTATTGAGATGTTTTTCCTAGCTCTGCTTGTGTGTGGGATGCCCAACAGGTATAGAGATTTTTTTCCAGGGTACTAGTCGTGGTAAGAACCTTCAATACCAGTTTACTGTTTTAGAGCAGCATATCAATTTATAGTTTTTTAGATACCAGCCTACAGTTTTTAGTATCAGTTAATAGTTTCAGTAACCGTATCAGAATCAGCTTTCAGTTTTAGAATGTTCAAAATCAGATTATAGTACTTAGAACAATTAGTAACGAGTTATGCATGCATACATGAATGATTAGTTGCTTCCATAACATGTTCATATAATCATGTTGTTTTCAGAATTTCATAGGAAACTATTGCATGTCATAAATATTGTTGGAGATATGTTTTGCAAACTCCCTTTTTTCCTCTTCACTGAGTATTCAGCCCCAGCGCCCCCCCCCCCCCCCCCCCCCCCCCCCCCCCCACCCCCCCCCCCCCCCCCCCCCCCCCCCGCGCTTTACAGGAGATCGTGCTGAGCAGTGAGTCACTACTCAAGATTGTGCCACGCGTCGACAATTTTTATGTGATATTATGAATATGTTCCAAAAAAAGAATGGTTATGTTTCTTTTGTAATAGTCTATGTTTTTGTTGTAATTACACAAGATTGATACTTTGTTTCCAGATTTTCATGGCATGAGCAACAGAATGCTTCTCCACTTGCTATTAAGGAGGATCATTTGCCAAATTCGACTCACCCTGGGAATGCCGGTGCCTGTTCCCATTATAGCAGAGCCCCTTCAACAAGTAACAGTTTGGGCTCTGATAAATCTTTCCCACCACATTCCCCTGGCATTAGACGTGGAATGTTTCTCAAATTTATTACGAAGAACTTAAGATGGCAACAGACAAGTTCTCTAGCGCCAACTTCCTTGGTGAATGGTTTTGGATATGTCCATAAGGGAGTCATTCCTAATGTAGGAGTGGTTGAAGCAAACAGCTAAAAGCTGGTAGTTGCCAGGGGAGCGCGAGTTTCAGGCAGTCATGTCCGTCACAAACATCTTGTCTCTTTTGTTGGATACAGCATTCTGGGGCCCAGAGATTGCTTGTATATAAGTTTGTTCAAATAAAACTTGGAATTTTTTACATGGTAAGAACTTCTCTGATTAGGTTCTGTTGCTTTGATGAGCATGCAAATAGGAAAAAAGTTTGAAAAGGAGTTTTTAACGATTTTACTAGACCATCGCCATGGTCTAGTCATGCGAAGTTATTTTTTTGAAACAACTGATCTTGTCTACTTGTAAAATTTTATGCAAAACAGTTCTAACAACTTGAAAAGATGCTCACAAATCCCATTTTTCTAATCTCTGAATAATTATCCTTCCAAAATTCACCTGTGCAATATATAACTTAGTTTTGCATGAATTACATTTATTTAGTAATTTTCCTTACCCTAAGTTCTTCAGAAAAAAGCAGACTAGTGAAATAGAATGAAATTTGTCAACTGTGATATTCTGGTCTCATCATATTAGAATAACATCGCAGGAGAGGGGAGACCAGCTATGGACTGGCCTATAGAATGAAAATTGCTCTAGGCTCGGCTAGAGGATTAGCCTATCTACATGAAGACTGTGAGCATTCTTCATACTACTTTCTTATCTAAAATTTTAAGCAAATTTGAGATTCAAGGTGTTCGTCTTGAAGTTCACTACTTTCTGGTCTATTATCTTCAGGTGACCCAAGATTATACATTGTGATATCAAGTCTGCTAATATCCTTGTTGACAATAGCTTTGAGGCAAAGGTAGTATTTTAAATAGATTTCATGTTTTCCCATTTTCATGGAAGAAATTAAAAAATATCCTATGTGTAATGATTTTCTGGGTACTTGATCATATCTGCAAAAATGTTTTTAATCAGTTGAAGAGCAATGGCTGTTGCAGAATAGATTTCTTTTTCCTGTCTTAAATTTTGAACAAGCTTGTAAATTAAAGACTAAGTTTTAACAACTCTATCTCAAGAGAAGAGTCTGAAATTCGCGAAAGAAAATGACTAATTAAAATTGTAAAATCATTTGATTGTGTTCAAATACTATGTTTTCTTGCCTTCATTACGATATTCGAGCTAGCTGGATCCTCCTCTTTGATGTGCGGGGGTTTTGCTTTCTTCTCGGGAACTACGCCTACCTTTGTCTTCTTCTCCGTATACTTTGTGACAATCAGTCCTTCTCTACATGGTAGGAACTCGGTCATAAGGGCCATGAACTCGGTCTTTATGCTCATACTCGGCATATTGACATTAACTCCACTTATTCGTGAGTTTGTTACCCGCAGTGCTCTACGTCTTCAACATGTTTCCACGGCCTCTCAACATGCGATCTGTGAGCAGTTTTAAGGCCCTATATCTACAATTGCAACTTTGTGATCTCCTGCTTCAATTGCGGGGGAGTTTTTGATAATAATGTGTAGGGTATTTTATTATTCTCTTGTAAACCTGTATATAACTCATCTTCTTCGTTGTATTTTATCATCAAACATATTATATAAAGACTGCGCCTCTGCAGATTTTTCACAAACCAGCCAGTGCAACTCCACCCAGAATTATTCTATCCAATGATTCTCCACTCATATTCCCTACCCTGTGGGATCCAAACGTTACTTCACTCCAGTACGACGTAGCAATTTCTTCATATTATCGTTGTGGCGGTGGAACTTTTGGACGATAAAATCGTGGTGGAGGAACATCGTCAGCTGGCGTTGTATCATATGGTGGAGGATATTCATACGACATATCGAGAAATTAGGAGTGACTTACCAGAGAGTTTTGGAAGTAGCTTTGATGATATTACAAGAAATTAAAGGAACATTTTATCAAACACTTTTAAACAGAAATTGTATTCAATCACAAAGAACAGGGTTAATTATATTATATATTACCCCTTGTTTAATTCACGCATGTTGGCATGCATGCACAGATGGATCACAAGTTTTTAGGGTTTTTTCCCAGTTGGGTGGGAGTGATATGTGGTAGTTGAGTATTTAATTATTGATTTGAATTCATACCCTTTAATATTAACAGCAGGGTTAAAATTCTGCGTAAGCTACTGTTTTCAGAAATGGAGAACGTAAAAATGTCTCATTGAATGACGAGGAGGACGACGAGAGGCTGGCAGCTAAGCAATAGAGACTCCAAGCCAATTTGTCCACGTCTATGCATGCAATGCCACCAAACAAAAAAAAATTTCTCTACTGTATATTGATCAGACATCACTCAACTTAATTTATTAGAAATTAGAGGTTGGTAATTAAAAAGAATCCAGATGAAATAATAATATCATTTAACTTTGTTTGACTTAGTTAAATAAAATAGGAGATTCCTCGGTTTTCTTTTTTAATTAAAAAAAAAAAAATCAAACATCTAACATTTAATTACCAGCAACCTATTTCAAATCCAGCTAAACAATATGGAACGAATCCAGCTTTATACATTATGTTCATATAATAGCATCAAACAAATTCAAATCCAAAATTTAGGAAGAACTGAACACCGATAAATGTTTGTGGTTGAAGGTTTGTTTTTGTCACAGGTCTTTAACAAACTTTTTCTCAAGAGAAGAATCTGATAATTTCGCGAGAGTAAATGATTAATTAAAGTTTTCTGGCCTTCATTAACCGATCGAGCTAGCAGGATCCTCCAGAGCTTCTAAAATCTCCGAGGAGTTTCTTCCTGTCCCATGGGCTATGTTCAATTCATAAAACTTAATTGAGAGCTAAAAGTAATTATTTAGCACTTGGTTTAAATACCTGGCTCATCTGCGGCCGATCCCTTGCTGGATAACATACACAGGGAGCAGCACCATGAACCATCCGAAGCCTTTCGCTCTTGTCGAATTTCCCTAACATTGGATCGGTATAAACAACGTTTATGTTGTTGTCTTTCACAGCTTCTGTGAGCATCGGTTTTGCCTAAAAGTCATAAAAGTCCGTGTTATATTTACTCTGCAAACAATGCAAAATTCACTCCACTATTGCACCCGTAATTACCAATGCAGAAACTAAATTAATATCAATCAAATTATTTACACACAAAACTGCAAGTGGGGTAACTTCTATCACACGATTGCTAACAGACTGGAGCTGTTGAGACAGAATATGCACCTTGACAGCCAAGTTTTCAGGATCAGAGGGCTGAATTTTATTCACAGGTAGGCATCCAGTAATCAATTCCAGAAGCAGCATTCCAAAGGCGTAGACATCTACCTTCTCATTTAACTTCCCGGTGGGGAAAAACTCTGGATCTATGTAACTGCATTGGAAGAAAATCCATTATTAGAAGTTACAGAGGATTGTTCAAGACAAGATAATTGGTATAAGTTATGAACAACAGAAATCAATTTTGCGAATATGACATATAAAGCAGTGCATTTTACCCAAAAGAGCCCTCAACTTTAGTGCTGATACGAGTTTCATCAGCTAAAATGGACGTAACAAGTCCAAAACCTGCCACCAGAGGAAAAACATGCAACTCAATTCATTCATCATATATAGAAGCCAACATAAAAAGCACACAGATGTTGAGCACTGAAATGAAAATAACTTATTCTATCACACGATTCCTACAGACTGGAGCTGATGAGACAGAATATGCACCTTGACAGCCAAGTTTTCATAATCAGGATCAGAAGGCTTAATTTTATTCAGAGGTAGGCATCCAGTAATCAACTCCAGAAGCAGCATTCCAAAGGAGTAGACATCTGACTTCTCATTTAACTTAATCCCGGAGGTGAAAAAATCTGGATCTATGTAACTGCATTCAGAGAAAATCCATCATGAGTAGTTACACAGGATTGTTCAAGATTATATATATATATATATACACAAGTTATGAACAACAGAAAACAGTTTTACAAAAATGACATATAAAGCAGTGTATTTTACCCAATAGTGCCAGTAGGTTTAGTGCTGATATGAGTTTTATCAGCTAAAATGGACCTAGCAAGTCCAAAATCTGCCACCTGAGGAAAAACATGCTAGTCAATTCATTCATCATATATAGAAGCCAACATAAGAAGCACACAGATGTTGAGCACTGAAATGAAATTAATTTCAATCTTTAACTGCAGTCTTAAATAACCATTACTTTATCAAAAGGCAGTGCAAACATATTCAAGCAGTCGGCTGTACAAATCATACCTTGGCTTCCCATTTTTCATCCAAAATAATGTTAGCTGAGCTAATATCACAATGCACGATCCTGGGCTTACCAGCTGCTGAGGGTAGATACATTTACATCATACCATTTGAAATTTCAAAACAATATCTTACATCTCAAAATTCGCTTAAATTTAAGAAAACATTACTATCAAAAGAATACTCACAGCCATCATGCAGATGAACCAATACTTTTGCTGTGCCTACCGCAATATTGAATCTTTTTTTCCAGTCCAAAATTTCTTTATTGTTCTCTGAAATGTTATCATAATCTGATGAGACAACAATATCATAGTTTAAAATGCACAAAATGCTGTGACATTTCTAAATCCACATCAATAAATCCTCCTAATTCCCATATAATATATACGACTATTATTCAGAAGCGAGTAAATTCAGAAATATTTCAAATTCTTAACCATCAGTGAGATCCAATCACAGAAAGGACATACCATGTGAATGGAAGTGCAGGCTTTTGTTCGGAACGAAGTCATATACAAGCAGTTTCTGAGTCTCCGAAATGCAGTATCCAAAAACATGTGCGAGATGTTTGTGGTGGATACCGCTAATGATTAATATCTCTTTCAAAAATTGTCGAACCCCCTGTTCCCGTTCAGCTATTTGCTGTTTTATAGCAACAATTTTCCCATCTTCAAGGTATCCTTTATAGATTTTGCCAAAACCAACTTCACCAAGAAATCTGTCTTCGGAGAAATTTTTTGTAGCCGCCCTTAGTTTATCATAATTAAATGTTTTCGGCATTACACGGCTAGTGGGTGGTGGATTCTCTGTATTTCCAGCAGAAGGTCCAACTAGAGAGACAAAAAAACAACAAAAAAAAAAAAAAAATTGTTTAAATTGAGTATTTAAACTGAGTTCATGATTGAAGTTTCTCATAAGCTCATAAGTTCATGTACCTAGGACTTAAAACTTTCAGATTTTTTTGTATAAAATTGTTATAATTGATTCACTTATGCTTGCTTTAGTTATATAATGATATGAAACTCAAAAGTTAATTCTCGCAGGAAAGGAGAAATGTTGACTAAATATGAAACGTTTATTACCTTTAGGGTTTCTCTCTTTGTCCCTGAGTCTTTGTTTTGTATAAAAAATGAGCCAAACAATTACAAGAAGAACAATCACCAAAACTATTAAACCACCCATAATTATTCCAAACGATGCAGCGCCTGAGGAAGAACTGAAGCCCTGAGATTGATCTTCAGTTTCAGGTTGCCACCCATCAACTACCTTTGGTGGTGGCGGAGTGTATGACGACATCAATGCTCGAGCACGAGAAGGACGTACCGGAGAACACATGATATTCTTTAAAATTAAGAGAAAAATGAAAATGATAGCTTGACAGTGTTCAACAAGAGGTTAGCTAGCTTTAAGCTTGATCCAAGCATGCATATTAAGTAAAGCGGAAGACTTCAGTCAGTGACACAGTAATTTCTTCAATCTTTAACTTTGAAGGTTTTTTTTAAAAGATTTTTCTCAAAGTTATATCTTTACCTGAAAATTAAAACACGTAATTTCTTTGTCGGTTCTAATATTTAATATCCTGCATCCACCACTGGCATTCTAGCTTTCTTTTTTTGATTCCACATCTATGGCTAATAATATATGACAGAGCAAAGTCAATTTCCAACACTTGGGATGCCACCACTGGCATTCTAGCCTTCTTTTTTTGATTCCACATCTATGGCTAAGAATATATATATGACAGAGCAAAGTCAATTTCCAGCACTTGGGATGCCACCACTGGCATTCTAGCCTTCTTTTTTTTATTCCACATCCATGGCTAAGAATATATGACAGAGCAAAATCAATTTCCAACACTTGGGATGGTTACAAGTGATCATATCGAAGAAGCAAAAGCTAATTTCATCTGGGCTTCTTGACCTCAATGAAAACCAATTTGCTTTACAAACTGGGTCAGACTCAGACCCCACCTCACCTAACATGATTAACCTTTTAATGAATTTTCAGCTCTAATTATCTGTGTTTAAGTGTCTCATTATGATCAATAGCATTGGAAAAATGATCTGTCATTGCTTTGCCACTTCAAGTTGTAGTAGTGCGCAACAACTTTAAAGCTTCAACTGTTTGAAGTGTTAAGTCTAACCTACACAGATACAAATTAAAAAATAAATATAAATTAATAAATAAGAAGAAGAGCTGAAAAGATGCATTAAATATATAGTAGTGAAAAGAGACTCTATACGGAATAATAATGTTACGGACACCAATGCTTTACACTGAAATGTTAAACTAAACGATGTGTCACTTGAGTCAGACGAGTCACATAGTACGTTAAGAAATATTTTGCAAATGAACATCCATTTTTATTGGATGGGAGTCCACCTATAAAGATGTCTATTCATAGTTTAAAATAAAAAAATTTGATAATAAAAATCATGAACGTCCATTCATACAAGTATCAATTGTTTAAATTAAAAACAAAAGTAATGGACAAATGTCCCTCTTAGATGGAGGACCGTCCATTTCTGTCCATTAAATAGGGACTCTGCTCTAGAACATAATCTCCTCTTTCCCATAATGTTCTCAATATAAGTGTCTTTAAGTAAGTTCATCACTTGAACTGCATATATCAATGCAGTCAAGGGGTCCGCCATCTGCAATAAAAAATAAAGTAAAGAAACTGTTGCCATGCATACATCAATGCAGTCAAGAAGTCCACCATCTGCCATGGAAAATAAAGTAAAGAAACATGTGCCATTAAATAGGGACTCTGCTATTCAATGCAATGTCCTCAATATAAGTGCCTATGGCATCTATGCTGAGAATATTGCTGGAAAGAGGAGATTCTGTTGTAGAACAGAGTCCCTGTTTAATGGACAGAAATGAATGGGTGTCCATCTAAGGGATGCTCGTCAATTACTTTTGTTTTTAATTTAAACAATGGACAGATATTCATGATTTTTCTTATCAATTTTTTTTAATTTAAACTATGAATGGGTGTCCTTATAGATAGACTCTCGTCTATAATAAATGGACTCCCGTCAATATAATATAGATGGGAGTCCATTTCAAATGAACGGCAGTCCAATAAAAATAGACGATTGTTCACTCATGAAATATTCTTTAACGTGCTACGTGGCTCATCTGACTTAGGTGACCTATCGTTCGGTTTAACATTTCAGTGCAAAGTGTCGGTATCCGTAGCATTTTGCTATAGAGAAAGGTGCTATTATTAGAAGCTTTTCCATCGTCTTGAGATCAATCTTTATTTGTAGAGAGAAAAAGAACTTTTAACCTCAAGAGATTGGTCGGGCAATTAAGGAGGTTTGCTCCCTTCTTTAAGTTATTGGGTTCAAACCTTTGGATCACCTACCATAATAACATTATAATTTAATTCCATCTTTGCTTCTCAAAATGTGTGGTTCTAATTTATGTAAAACCATTCATTCCAGTAACCATTAGTGAACTAAGCTAATTTCATTAAACTGTATAGGAACACAAACCAGCCCTCCACATAGTAGCACAACCGTTTTAATAAAGCTAAAATGCTAACCTAACTTTTATCATATATATCAGACCCTCTAATTAACCTCCCATCCTCTATTCTTTTTGTCCAAGAAAAAAGTCACGTCACCTCTCACGCTCTCTCCCTATAAATAACCCCTAATTAGCCCTTATTCTCTTAACACTAAACTAAACTAAAATCTGAGCTTTAAACCTCGCTTCATTTCTTCATATCATAGATGGGTAATCTCTTGTGAATTTATTTCTTTTTTTTTTTCTATTAATTTTGATTTTTCTCTTAATGTTCTTCTTTTCGTTTCTTTGAATTGTTCAACCAAGACAAGAAATTAAGATCGGAATTAACAGTTATTTTTTTTTTTTAACTATTGATTTGATTAATAAAGTTAATATGAAGAAGAATTTTAGTTAAATCTAGTTTAATTTTTATTTATTTTTGAAACCAATTTCTTAACAAAAAATTAACTGTTTTTACAAAATAAAATATAAGAAAAATATTATAAGGAAAAAAAAGAACAAACAACACCAACCGTTTAATATCGTTGGATTATAATACTATATATAATTTTCCGAGAAGCTGTTTTTATGGACTTAATTAGGCAAGGCAGATTGTTTGTAACTGCTATTCAGCCTATATATCACTCGGATCTGATTAAATTCCTCAAATATATTGGATCCAATGTACTGTCCTCTCCGTTGTTCCCTACAGAGCCAAATTTTGTAATAAAAAAGAGTAATGCTATCTGCACTAATCAAATCATACTCCCAAGTACTAACAATTAATTTTGAAATTTTTTTTTTTAGTTTTTGGAGGGAACTAACGTGGCAATAAGAGGTCTATCATGTCAGTTAGTACTGGATCAGTATGGGTGTAGGTTAGTGCAGATAATATTATTCCATAAAATAACATGTTTTAATTTTCAGGTAAAGATAACTTTGAGAAAATCTAAAAAAAAAAAAAAAAAAAAAAAAAAAAAAAAAATATCTCAAAGTTAAAGATTAAAGAAATTACAGTGTCATGGACCGAAATCTTCTACTTAACTTAATATCCATGCTTGGACCACTTAAAGCTAGGTAACCTCTCTGTTGAACATAGTCAACTATCATTTTCATTTTTCTCTTTCCGTTCTGTATGATGTGGCTTGCAATTGACACGCTGGAGTCATATTGGTCAAAGCAAGTAGTGTTTTATTTTTCCTGTGCGATGTCGTTTTGGTTATCAAGTTTAGTGCCCTATCTGCACTCGACTCTCATCTTTTGTAACAAATTCTTCACAGCTCCTCTCTCTCTCTAGTCCCGTGTTAGCCCTAGGTCTTCGATTATGGCAGAAGATTCTAGTGCTTGCTTTCTCCAACGATTTTAAGATCTTATTGGACAGCTAGTGATTGATCAACGGAGCCTTGATGTGTATAAAATCATACCAATATGTGTGAGAAAATAGCAGTGAGAGGCTTAATCGGGTGTGTTCTTTCCTATATTTGCTTGTTAATACTCTCTGTAACATTGTTCTCTTATGAATGAAATACCCTAAAGTGTGCCTTGAAGAGTGGATTGTAGCTGCCTTAGCCGAACCACTATAAATCCATATGTGTCATTTTTATTCGATTTTTCTTGCTTTTATTAATCTATAAATTGATTGTTTATTATACTGCATAAGTTGATTCTTGATTTTGTTCATTGATTGATTGGATGAAATTATTTTAGTTGATAACCATAGTTGTTACTACAAATTGGTATCAGACCTAGTTTGAGTCCTGATTAGGTTTATCTGTGATTCCTTTTCTATCGTTACAAATTTCATACCAAAACATGTCCACTAAATTTGAACTCGAAAAATTACAGGGGGCAATGATTTTGAACTTTGAAGATGAAAATGGAAGCTGTGCTGATTAAGAAGGACTAGCCCTAGCATTGAAAGGGGAATCTGGATTGCCTGACACCATGATTGAAGTTGAGAAGCAGGATGTTCTCAACAAAGCAAAAGCTCCTTGATCTTAGGACGGGTGACAAAGTCCTTCGACAAGTGAGAAGAAGAAAGCTGCTACTAGATCTGGAACGGTTAGACTCTCTGTATCAATCTAAAGCTGTCCCTAATAGACTGTTTTTAAAACAAAGATTGTTTGGGTTTAAAATGGATGAGCAGAAAACTATAAAAGAATAAGGATGAATTTTTGAAACTTAACATGTTTAGAAAGCATATCAGTAATTGACGATGAGGACTAGGCTATAATTCTTCTAAATTCCCTACCAAAACCTACTCTAATTTTGTAGAAACCTTAAAATATGGTAGGCATACCCTAAAATTAGAAGAATGGTAAAGCCATTACAGCTAAGGATAGTGAGAATAAAATGAAATTAGGCAGTGATGGGGAAGGTCTCACATTAAGGGTAGATCAAGAAGAGGAACTGGAAAAATGGGGACACAATATGAATAGATCTAGTCCAAAACTAGGAAATGGAAGTGCTTCTTCTGTCAAGGAAGCCCATCTAGGAGAGATTGTCCTGAGAGAAAGGTAAAAGAAGTATGAAAAGGAGGAGAGAAGGCAGTGCTGGTGTTGTGTCTGAGGGTTATGAAGTTCAGAGTATTAGTCATCTCTGAAGGTAGAAATAGTGAGATGGAATGTACCTATCACATGACACCTAATAAGAGTTTCAGTTCTTTTCATATTCTAGATGGAGGAAAAGTGTTATGATAGGAAATAATGCAGCATGTTGCATTAAGGGCATAGGTACTGTTAAACTAAGCCTCCACAATGGCCTAACCAAAACCCTCACGGATGTAAGATATATTCCTGACCTCAAAAGGAATCTAATATCACTAGGTACTCTAGACTCAATAGGACTGAGTTACAAGGCTTCGAATGGAAGTCTTAGTATGATGAAAGGATCACTAGTAGTGATGAAAGGTGAAAAGAGAAATGGCCTTTATGTGTTAAAGGGTAGGACAGATTATGGCATAGCTGGTATAGGGTCTCTAGTAACACAAGACAAAACC